GGCCCCAGAGAGAATCTTTGTCATAACCAATGAGAAACAAACAGCAGTTTAGGGGACCAAATCCCTACCCTCAGACCCCTCTCATACCAGCCTTATCCAAAGCCAGGAGCTTCCCCATACTCCACTGATGAGTACTCCCATACACACACATTCACGTAGTCTCACATACTCTTACACACTTACACACTCTTTACTCATATTCACACTCGCACATGTATATACACATAGAAACACATGTACAATTTCACACACTCTCAGACACAGAGCCACACACACACACACCGTGGCCCCTAGACTATGTGTTTTAGTTCCCAGGCTCAGGTACTCAATTGGCAGGTCACAACCTGTTCACTGCCTCAGCCCTGCTGCTGGGCTTTGTGACAGGGTGGCAGTTCCAGGCAGGCCAGCCCCTGAGGCTTCCTTCCCATCTAACTACAGTGAGCTGGGGCTGGGGTAGATCCAGGAACTTCCACCACCAGATAAACCCAAGTAGTGGTCGCTTCGTGGGGGTAGAAAGGGTACAGCAGGAAGAATAGAAGTTTCGGCTAGGAGAATCAGGCCCCTGGGCAGCTCAGCTCAAAGCTTCCTCAAGTAATAGTCAGTCAGTGAATTCTCGTTCTTTACCTCATTCCACATTCAGCCCAAGTTCCTCCCAGGCTCTCGGGTCAGTAGGTGATAAATCCAGCATTGGACCCCAATCCAAAGTTTCTCACCTTTCCCATGAGACCCCTCTCTTTAACAGAGATCCTTTTCAAATTTACCAAAAAACTTTATGCAGAAAAAAGAGGTTAAACATTTCATAGGTTAACTAGCCATGTTATGGTTTATATATTGTCTGATTATTAAGCATAATCAAATTCCCTCATAATCAATCATAATCCCCTCATCAACTCACCTCCTTTGGTTTACATGCTCTTACCATGGGTTGTTTTTGTTCCTTTGTGCATGGGTGGGGGAATAGTTCACTTCTTTGGGAGGCTGAAGCAAAGAGTATGACTTTGTGCTCCAGCTCCTCCATATGTGAATGGTCAAACCTAAACTCAGGTGTATCCTCCCTGAGCCTCTGCAAAATGTCAGGGCGGTGATTGGGTTTAAATAGGATACACATTCAAAGCACCCATCAGAGTTCCTGGCTTATAAGAAATAGCCAGTATATTTTAACTATGAGAATTTCTTGCTTTTACTTTTTAATTATATAATGTCAGTAAAGTAGTGACTCAAAAATCAGTGTTTCTTCAAGAAAAATTATTATTCTCCTGGGAAGGCAGGCAGACCTTCCTTCAGAATCACATTGCATGGGTTGTCACTTTGCTCCTGTGTTTTGTGTTGGTACCTGGGCAGAAAATGGGATGGGCTGCAGTCCTGAGCAGCATGCATTGTGACAGAGCTGCCCAGGGAAGCAGCAAGGTTGTGCCTATAACTTGAGATCCCAGACAGCTGGGAGGCTTCCTTCCATTTGCCCCAATTTGTCTCCATCCAATAGTAGTAAATTGGGGTCAAGGGAATGATGTATGAATCATGGTCACAGCAGGGGAAGGAAAGGAGACCCTGTCTTCTGTCAGGGCATGCTCGACAGCTGGGTGGATGCATGGGTTAGGATGCATAAAATTCCATTACCTGTTTGCTGAGCCTAAATAATATTAGGTTCTGAAATATCTTCCACAGGTGCTCCCAGGTTGAGCTCCTAATCCCCTGTAACATTCTATCCTTAGGGAGGTGAGGGGAGCCAGACCAGGTGGAAGTTGGAGGGGGAAAGCGGGAGACGAGGGTTGGAGGAAGCAGAGTTCTCGTTTTTTTTTATCATGCTCCCGACAACTTGGCATCTTTCTGGGAAGTCTTGGTTATTCGGAGCATGCTCTGAGCTCTTGACAGGAAATTTGTCAGTATTTCTCCGGCCACATCATTTCCGACTCTCATTCTCTTTCTGATCATGACACCTTTTCTGTAAATTGGAAAACAAATATCCAAGAAATCAGAATGCCATTGCTAAGGCATTATAACAGCTTTTAATGACATGTACAGCCAAGATGCCGTAATGAAAACACACACTAAATATTTGCATCTTCGATGTTCTAAGATAAATTTACAGGGCTGCTCTGTGGTCCCGAATACAGAACATCTCTGTTAGAATGGAACAGGAATTTAAACACTTTTGGGAAACAAAATCGATCAATAATAATGTCCTTCTACATCAGATGTAGTTTATAAATGTGATCAAAAGATTATCCTGTAAAAGCAAAACACATATTTGGGCATTTTCTAGTGATAAATAGTCTCCAGGATTTTTCATTGTCTCTTGCTCAATTTCTGCAAGTTAGCAAAGTTTAAAACAAAGGTTTCTAGATCTTTATCTTATAATGCAGTTGTGTATCAAATATCAGGACAGTCATTTGCCAGGTAGAAGGCATTCTTGGGACTGAACGTAGACACAAGGAGAAAAATCTGCAAATAAACAGATTTCTGCAGTTCACTTGTTGCTTTGCCATATAAAATCCTAAGAGGTGGATAAGGCCAGCACTCTGTCGACTATGGAATAATTTTTTCCAAATATATAAAAGCACATGGCCAACAATTCTCTGTGGGGGTCAGGTCTGACTTACATTATACAGACGATTAGATGCAAGGCTAGAATACAAGAAATCAGGTAGCTTCAGTTCTGTGTAGCCGAATGAATTTGGCTTCTGTACTCTGGCCTCCAAATACTACTAAGGCATAGGTTATGATAGAAGAAGAAAACTGTGAAAGCCAAACCAGCTTTTGCTCATTCAGAAAAAGAAGGGCTATGAATTCTAAAGTAACAATGAAAGGACTTCTTCAGAATATGTCTCACATCTTATTGCCTGCTCTTCCTATTGAGACCCTCTTTCCTTCATCCCCAGAGCTCCTGGGAAAAGTTCTTGAAGAGAAAATATTTACCCCAAATTATAGTGCAGCTAGGAACTAGTAATGAATGAGTAACCCTTTCAGCAAGTGTAGGCCCACTTTGTGCTTTGCCTTACTCAGCTGCGTTGGTCCAGCCTCCCAGAGTCTTGAGTACATAGATCAGAGCACAGGTGGTACAGGATATTCTTCAACAGATCCTGTTCCAGGAATCTCCCCTTCAGATGACCCCAGTCAGTCAGCAGGTATTTGTGAGCAGGAAGGAAGAAGATAAATAAGAGTTAAAATAACAGCCAACATTTATTAAGCATGCGCCATGCGCCAGCAGAATTCTAGGCTTTAGATATGGTATATCATGCAATGCCCACGACACCCAAGAATAGCAATGTTCTTCTCATTTTGTAGATGAGTAAAACTATGTGCAAAAGGTTGAACAGCCGGCAACTGGCAGCATTTATGAATCCAGAATAATTCCCTTAACCACTACCCTTATCTATCAGGAGCTTTCACATTGATGAATACGCTAAACCCTCACAATAACCCAACTACAAAATATTATTATTATTATTCCCATTTTGTCCATTGGAGTAATTCAGGCAAAGGGTAAATTTCTCAAGGCCACACTTAGTAAAAGACAACCAAAATTTGAATACTTCCAAGCCTGTGTTCTTTCTACCACCCCATATTGCTTACACCAAGCATTTGCATGCATATTCTAAAGAGACTGAGTGCCCAACTTTGTTTTTAATAAAGCAAATATAAGAGAAAAACATTCATAGGACCAAAAGATATAATTTTAAGATTCTGTCCTTTTATTGTAAGAAAAGAGTAGATACAGCATTGTTTGGCAGGGAGGAGTGTGGGCTTTAGTTTTCAAAGAAAGCATATGGGAAAGGGAGTTTGTCTCTGTAGTTTGCATCTAAAGTGTTCTGGTGTAAGTTTACAGGGCTGATCTGTGGTCCTGATGGAAGGATATGCCCACTGCTAGGACATGGAGTTTTGTATCAAGTACAATGATAGTGCCTCAAGTCATGGAAAACTCCAGTACAGGGACTTAACGAGGAGTTAGTTTACTCCACATCACGAGAAGCCTAGTGGTAGAAGACTTCAAGTGTTTGTTCAGCTCCTCAAAGATGCCATTGGAACTCAGGCTCTTTCTCTTTCCACCTCTGCTCCTTTATCATGTTGTCCTTCTCCTCGTTGGAGTCACAAGACATTTGCCATAAAGTTAGGAACAAAAGAGAAGAGGAATGCACCAGCCATGCTGGTCCCATGTTAGCAAAAAAAGCAGAGGCTTTCTCAGACCCAGTCCCCACCCCCTCCCCCGAAGCCCCAGCCACCTTCCACTTAGGTCTTGTCAATCAGCATCGTGTCCTGTGGCCACCGCAACAGACAGGGAGGCTGAGAATGCAAGTGTTTCCCCTGACGCGTGGCCCACCCAGCAGAAGTGCATTCCCATATGGAAGGTGCAGGTAGGAAATCACAAAAGCGGTACACCTTCATTTAGGATGTTAGTGTGGAGAAGAGTTAGGGCAATAGGGCTGTACTTGGGAGAAGGATGATATTGATGAGGAAGAATGTTGTGGTACCCTTTGTATCTATCTTTCATTTAAATGGACCCAGAGCATCACACCTGTGATGCTTCCTTTCCTCCTTCATCCTGTTCTTGAATCTTTATTCTTTCTGCTCAAACCCAGACCAATTATTTAGCCTTTGGGCTAAATAATGTTGCTAATTATCCAATCTTCTGACTCTGTGTTATTGTGTTTTTTTTTTTTTCAATTCTTGGCAAATAATATGCATTGAATAAATTATCGCTGAATTACTTAATGAGATGAGGAAATTCCAAGCAAATTTCAGCTGATGAGAGCCTTTGACTGCAATGGCCAGAAGTTTTCACTGCTCCAGGGGAGAAACTACTCAGGAGCCTGTGGAAGGCATCTAGACACCCATGTTACCGGACTCTAGATGTATGAATGTCAGCTAAGTGGCCCAACCCAGATAAGAGGAATTTATAGGAGGCTGAAGACTCTCGGGTCTAGGGTCAACACGGCCCTGTGTGGTCTTGTTGCTACTCCGTATGATGATAGCTCCATGGTTTTTTTCTTCTTCTTTTGCAGAGCCAGCTCTCCCAGGCACTGAACGGGTTGTCAGACAGGGCCAAAGAAGCCAAGGAGTTTCTGGTGCAGCTGCGCAACATGGTCCAGCAGATCCAGGTACCGACAGCGCCTGAAGCAGAAAGCAAACCCCACGGTTAAGATGACACTGTGTGGTGGAGAGTTTGTCTGTTTCTTCTCTTTTATTTTTATGTGTTGTTGGGAACTTCCTATTTATTTTTTTTCTACTCTGTCTCTTCTAATACATACAAATACACGTATGGACCCACTTGGAACATACCTGTTCTTGAGATGGTTACATATGCCAACAAGCCAGAAAAAAACCTGGTTTTCCAAGTGGTTTGTATCTTCCACACAGAAGTCCTAATTCTCCGCTACTGTGTATTTAGAAAGAGGCCTATTTCTTTGTGAATTCAGAGTCATTATTGTTGAGTGTTTCTTTTTTTAAATATATAGGTTTCCAAAGCACCTTGCAATAATTATATCTTATCTGATGGTAACAAACAGGTCACGCTTTCTCTTTTTTTTCTTCCTTCCTTCCTCTTTCTTTCCTTTCCTCCTTCCTTCTCCCTCCCTCCTTCCTTCCTTTTCTAATATCCTCCTTCCTGCCTGCCTACCCCATAGTAATGCTTCTCCTCTACTTAGATACTTAACTATTTTTCATCCATGATCTCCTGGTAACTACAATTTCAGATTGCTTAATCTGGACACAATCATCAAGATACTGGCCAGTATTTGGAAGTTTGTGAATTTTCCACTATAGCTAAAGAGGAGAAGCCATAAACTGCATAAGATGCTAAAAGAATGACTTTTTGCACTGTACCGTTCCTATGTTTTGAGCTTTCCCTCCCAGAAATCTTAGCTCTGGCCTCCCAGTAAAGTGTCCCTCTGAGTTAATATTTAACCCATGTCAAGGCAGAAATGGCTTTTTAAATGTAAAGCAGCCTTTCCCTCACACTGATTTTTTTGCCTTTTTCTGTTGTTGTCATGCATGCCCATGTTAAAACTTTTGATCCCATTATAGCTAACAGTTGTACATTTCCTTCTGTTTTCCACAGAGGTTATCAGTCAGTCCCTTCTTTGCCCCAGGCTTGCCTCTGCACCTCTTCTCTTCATCAGAGCGAAGCATTCTTTCTGGTCTAAATTAGAGTCTATGAGGAGAAGGCTCCCTGCTCCCTCCCAAAATTGCCCTGCATGGGACATAGAGAGCTCTTAAATGATGTTTTTCAGGAGATTTCTCTGAGAATGCAAAGCAATTGCCATGAAAGTCAAAACTTAACATTTGTAGAAGTCATTGCTGACGTGATTTCTAATGCATGCCTTATAGGAAGAAGACGTGGCATTTGAAAAGTTACCAAATACTTATCAGTAGATCCTTTTCTTAAGAGAGACACACAATTCTTTATGACTTTGGTAATAAATTAAAATTTGATAGGCTAAGCTCTTTCTTCCTTGCCAGCTCCCAGAAGTTTACAGTTTATGCAGTTGGGTGCTATTTTTTTTTTTTTTTTTTAGTGCTATGTGAGTATTTAGCTTTCACTTGATGTAAATTACAAGTTTTTCGGATTATGGTTTGAGAGTCAAAATTATATGTGTAACTTACTGAAAGGATTACCTTTAATGGATGCTTATAATTTAGTGAGAAAATCACTTAAATTCTGTGGCAAGTACAGATTTAGATCAATTTAAAAATTTAGATTCAGCATTCAATTTAAACATCACGGAGAAGCGATCATTCATTTAGAAAATGGTTACCCTTCCCCCTCAAGTTATTGGTTCATGTCTGACTTTTACAGCCTACCTGTGTTCATTTTGCTTTCCTTAATGAAAGGAGCGGGTGCTTTTGCCCGTGATTATTCTTATAAACTTCCATTGTCATTGGTTTATTGTTTAATATTGAAGACCGTTGCCATCTTTCTTTTTCTTTCTTCCCCTGAATTGACTGATTTTTTTTATCTCTTATGCTTCAACAATACTCTGCTCCCTTGGGCAACCAGCGTTTCTCTGAATGCCACCTTCCACCATACACAGCTGGACGTAGACTGGCTTTCAGAAGGATTCATGTCCAACTGTGCAAACAATGCTTTATTTTATTTACTATAAATCAAACTTTGGAGATAATTTCCTTTTGATAGAAATAAGTTTGTTGAGTAATATTTATCCTTTCCAATCTAAATTTAAAGCAAAACACTACCACCGTAGAATGAAATTTATCCAGTTATTTTTAAGATGCCGAATGTGCATTGTGCACGAAGTTCCTCTTCATCCCCTTCAGCAGGGGTCTCCACCTCACTAATGGGTGGGCAGCTCTGTGTTCTCTGGCAGCCCGAGGTACCCAAGCACCTTATGGCTGAGAAGTGTGCTCTGTCATGCAGGAGAACAGTGTAGAGTTTGAGGCCTGCCTGGTGGCCCAGTGCGACGCCCTCATCGACGCCCTCAACAGAAGGAAAGCCCAGCTTCTTGCACGTGTCAACAAGGAGCATGAGCACAAGCTAAAGGTGAGTGCTGTGCCATGTGGGGAGCAGAAAGCCAATAAGCCTGGCTCCTAGGGCTGTGATGAAATGGCTAGACAAGGGGCAGGATGCCCACAGCCTAGGGTGGCCAGTGGCCTCCCTGGCAAGGAGTGGGCGTACCCCTTCCTTCAGCACCCAGTCCTTCATTTACCATATTTGTTGGGTGACTCCTCTGGGGCAGGAATTTCTTTGGGGCTAGGCATAATAAAATAAATCAAAATCCCTGCCCTCATGGGGTTTATATTCTACCAGGAGGGATAAACAATAAACAAAATAAGTAAGTAAACTATCCAGTATATTAGTAAAAAGTGTTAAGAAAAAAAAAAATAATAATAAAAAGGGGTAGGGAGTACTAGAGTTGAGGATTGAAATTTTAGACAAGGTGGTCATAGAGGCCATACAGAAGCATAATGTATTATTTAATTGGGAGATAGAATCTGTACCTTCCAGAAAGCAAACAACATTTGCCTCAACTTTCGAAGTGAACTGTGCAATTGGACAGTTGTGCGGACTTTCATCATCACACAATGGAATCTATTAATTACAAGTCTGGGTCCCTAGTGGCAGAAGGACTGGTCCTCCTGGAGACATCTGGTATCCCACCCACTGCCTCATTGGAGCGAGGCATCGACATCTGAGAGCAGGCTGGATGCATAAGAAGAGCCCGGCCGAGGGAAGCTCGGAAGCAGGCAGTCAGCAGAGGTCCATGTTTGTGGCCAGTAAGCCTCAGGGTAGCTACCAGTGGGTGGCAGATGGGTAGTGTGCACTGTTGGCCTGGGATTGGAGTGGAAAGAGAAGTGAGTTCTGACCATAGGCTCTCTGTTAGGGTTGGGCAGTCCACATCAGGGAGCTTTAATAGTGGGCAGCAGTGAGTGGATACTACCTTGAGGGCGAACAATCCGGTTAGTGTCAAATATCCCCAGCAGCTTTGGAACAGGCTCTAGTCCCTGAAGGACAAGAGAAGATTCCATTTCTAAAAGAATAGAATTCCAGTAGGAGAACCAAGGAAGAAAGAACGCAGCTTACAAGACTTGAGACCAAAGCTCGGTGGCAGGGAAGCTTTGAGCAGGGCCAGTACCCACTTCACGGTTATCAGAAACAAGGCAAGAAACCAGTTGCTAAGGGGAGCATGAGACCTGGGCAAGACCTGCAACAAGACTGGCAATGCCGAGTGCTGAACAGCAGAGTCACCAGTCCTTTCTCTGTGCCCATTCACACACCAGGGCCCAGAGCCCAGGAGGACAGGGAGCCAGGCAGCACAACAAAGAGCAACATTTCCTTGGGGAAATTCTCTCCAAAAGTGAAGAAAACCCCCACTCTAACTGCATCCTCTGAGGCAAGGGTCCCCAACCCCCTGGCCTTGGACCGGTATCAGTCTGTGGCCTGTTAGGAACCAGGCCGCAAGGCAGGAGGTGAGCGACGGGCGAGCCAGCCAAGACTTCATCTGTATTTGCAGCTGCTCCCCAGCACTAGCACCACCACCTCAGCTCCACCTCAGACCATCAGGCATTAGATTCTCATAGGAGTACCGGACTCTGGTGCCAAAAAGGTTGAGGACCACTGCTCTAAGGCACCCTCCTCCACTACCCACCTGCTGCTCCTCAAAACACAAGTGAGCGATGGGCGAGCCAGCCAAGAATTCATCTGTATTTGCAGCTGCTCCCCAGCACTAGCACCACCACCTCAGCTCCACCTCAGACCATCAGGCATTAGATTCTCATAGGAGCACCGGACTCTGGTGCCAAAAAGGTTGAGGACCACTGCTCTAAGGCACCCTCCTCCACTACCCACCTGCTGCTCCTCAAAACACATTCAGAGCCACACACCTGCTTCTTCCTTCTCCAAAGCCAGGGCAATAATATGGCTGGAATATAAACCTTTCTCCCCTGCCTTTGTGACTTGCCCAGCCATTGCTCTGAAGGGACGTGTGATATGGAGGCAGGCAGAAGGCTGAGCTGTGACAACGAGGTCCAATTGCTGGTGAGGGCTGTGCCCCATGACGCAGTTTGCCAGCGAGGCCTCTTCTGGCTCTGTATCAGGGCCATGTCTCTTTAAGTGTTCCCGATGAGACAGCAATAGTGCAATTTTATCAAGGAGAGGCACCGCAGATTCCTTGACAAAGAAAACTGCACATCTTAATATTGAATATGAACCAGGAGTTTGGAAAGAAAAGTGCCTCAGCCTGTTGATGTAGATAGTGAACCAAGGCTGGGGACTGTAACACTCCTTCCAGAGAGGCCAATAATGTTTCCTAGTGGTGAGTCTAACTAGAAGACCCTCTAAGTTTATCTTAGAGTGAGCTCAAGCTCCTGGGGGCCACCACACTGACACCCACCTCATGGAGCCTTCAAACTGGAACAGAAGGCAATCAGGAAGACACTGAGCTTTCAAAGGAGGCACTCTGAGTGGCCTGTGTCATGCATAATTCACAAAGTGCTGAATAATGGCAAGTTTTATTTACATGGCTTTTTCTAGCTCATAGGTTTCCAGGCTCCAGTCTCCTAATGTCTGTGATCAAATTGTTTGCTTTTGAATTCCCTGAAGGACCACTGGACTGCGTCTCATGGCAACCTATGTAGTAATTCCTAAAACATGGAAGAGGAACCTTATACATTTAGCTTCAACAATCTGGGAAATGTTTCTACTCTGTAAATATTTTCATCCAAGATAATCACACATTAGGTCTCAATGAAAAATTCTTCTAGAGTCATCTTTTTTTTTTTTAATCTGAATTAAAATCCCAATATGCTCAGAGATGTGATTCTGTAGTTGCCCAGCGAGCAACACAGAATGAGCATCCTTGGCAACCGAGCCCTGGCTTTTATAACGGCAATAGATAACACTTGGGGGACACATTCTTCGAGGCAGCACTGTACAAACTATGTTATAGGGATCAACTCCTCTATTCTCTATAACACATCTGTGAGGCCATTATTACTATTGTCCTCATTCTAGAGGTGAGGAAACCATGGCATCATGATATTAAGAATCGGACTAGGATCCAGAATTCCAGTCCTAGTAACCTGGCTCTAGAGCCCAGAATCTGGCCCACAGCACTCTACCACCTCTGGCTGGTATAGAGGTAGAATGCAGGAAGAAGACTTGCCCCAACCCTCATCCTTTTATCAGTCAGCCAGTACCTAATGCACACCTGCTCGGGGCTGAGTGCTGGGCAGGGGAACACAGGAAGGTTACTCAGGATGAGTTCTGCCCTTTCTGAGCTTTATGTTTCATTGAGTGAGATAAGTCATATCCACAAAGGACTCCAACACAGGTAGAAAGCGAACCTCCAGGAGAGAGACAGACAACGCCATAAAAGTTGGGAAGAGGGTAAAATTATGTCCAGCTGAAAGGGTCACAGAGACGTCATGGAAGAGTTGGCATTGGAGTCACGCAAACTTTGGGATGTGTATGTGTTAATGGTGACCTATATTCTTGCCTGCAGGATTTGGCAACTGTGAGGGATGAAGACAGTGATTAGCACAGTGCACCCTGGTCTTGCTCCATGCAGTTAGCCATGAGGACTTATGGATGTTTTCTGTTTCTGTCTCCTGTTCTAACATTACTACAAGATCGTCACTATAACCCTTCATTTTAGCATGCTTCAGAAACCTGGAACTTTTATTGTTACAGTGGATCTCAAAATCCCATTTGGGTCACATAGAATGATCTAAAATAAAAACACATTTGTCTTTAGGAAATGAGCCGGAAAACTGGGATTTTCCCTCTGAATAGTGGGCCAAACATTTTAGTATGTAGCTATAAAATTTTAACTTTTTCTCAATGGAAGTCTCTTTTTTAAAATATTGCAAACACTTTCCTGGCATCTTTAAACAGAACGCGGTGAACAGTTTGTGATAAGTCGTATGGATGTGGCTGTAGAGGCAACTCCAAGTCTCCTGTTTGAGAGAGACATAAGGGCGGGAATCTGGATGGAAGAGGGAATTAAACATTGAGAAAGCATTATTTATTGATGTTAAAAGTGGCATGAAAGCCCTCCAGTCTCCCTCGTTAGTGTTGCCTCTGCAGAATGGGACTGTATGACAATCAGCGATGAGCTGTGCTGTGGACAGGAAAGGCTTTAACGTATCACCGGGACTCCATGTGCCATGACTGTGCATTGGTCCTGGTGACCTGCCCTGCAGAGAGCACCGATGCGCTTGGGGACGCTGAGCAGAGGCAGCTGCCTGCCTCGTTCTACCCTGCCCAGAGTGCATGCAGTTCCTTGCCCCAGACCTCAAAGGGCCACGGAAACCAGACACAGGTGGCTGGTTGTCCCCTACGGCAGCAAAGCTGTTCTAACTTCTGTTTCAAGTGATTTGTTTCTCTGCTGTTTCAGCTGATTATATCTGTCACTGCTTCTAAAAACAGCCAGCAAAGCTGATGCTGTGACTACTGATGCCAGCCTCCATGTCTCCCTTCCTCTGCCTTTCTCCTCCTGCCTTTACCCTTCTTGTCACTTCGGTTGCTACTCAGATTTGTGAAAAAAGGCTGGCATTTTATAGACATCACTTGCCAAGCACAGACAGTCCTTTCTCTTCGTTGGCTGACCCATCATTCACAGTCCGGCAGGGATAATCTTATGGTCTTCCGCTTCCCTTTGGCTGAATTCTCTGGGGTCCTGCTTTTGCTGACAAAGAGGAGAGTTGTATGTGTGTTTTTCTGGCAACTTTCTCTTCTTGAGCAATCCCAAAGGCTAGGGATGCCGGAAAGTGAGTGCATATAAAGACAGTCTTTATAATCTACTTCTACCCCTTTCTGAAACCACTGATTACTTGAACAGATTGAATAGTTCTGGTTCTGAGGCAAGATGGAGCTAAGTGGTGAAGAGCCCAGACTCTGTGTCGTAGAGTAAAGTGAGGACACACTTTTTCACTGACGAGGTCTCTAACTGTGGACAAGTGTATGTCTCGATCTCTTTCACCTATGCGTAAAATAAGGCTAGAAGTAGTTGTCACCTCACAGGGCATTGTAAAGCGCTGAGC